CCCCCCACCTAACCTGGCCACGGCTTCTCACGCAGGGCAGACGTCCCGCAAGAAGTGCGCTCAGCTGAAGGCAGACCCTGAAGCTCCCACCCCCAAGGTAAGAAGCTTTGTGGTTGCTGCAGCTCTGCTAGGTTTAGAGGTTGTCCTGTTCCCCGTGCCCTGCTCAGGCTGCTCCCGAATTCATGGTGAGGCTCCTACCTGGAGTTTCCCATCAGCCGGCAGTCCAAGCACACTCCTGCTCCTAAGCTCCAGCTCTGATATCCACCCAGGTCACCACACGTGCCTCAAAACGGCATCCCAGGGCTGCAGCGAAGGAGGAGGAGGAGGAGGAGGTGGCTGACAGGCCGAGGAAGGGACGTGCCCGCCGGAGGAAAGCAACCACTGCTCCAGCCTCGACTGAGCCGGAGGTGCCAGTTAAAGCCAAAAGAAGCCACCGGACGTCTGCACACAGGGGCAAAGGTGAGGCTGGCAGTTCCTGTGGCTTTCAAACGCGCAGGAGGGGCTGTGGGGAACGCTCCTTGTGTCGGGGGACTGAGCGGGTGCCAAAGGGCAGAACCAGGCACCCCCTCACTCTGCCTTCTCGTCTGCCTCCCCATTTTCCAGGCACAGCCCCTGTCCTGTGAGTGCCGCACACTGCTCTCCTCCCAAGGGACATTTTCAGCCGCAGGAGGAGCTCAGGGAGGGCCTGGCAGGGGGCCTGGGCTAGTGCTGGGGAGAAATGGGGCTGCTCTGTGCCCGTGCTGATGCCCACTTGCTGCCGCTGCATCCTGCCAGCGTGGGAAGAAGCTGGGCTTGGTGATGGGGCTGACTTGTCCAGCGTCCTGCTGTTCCCAGGCATTTGAGGGGGATAAGGGCCACAGATCACTCTTCATGCTGGACTCTGACCCTTCCCTCTGCCTAAAAGCGGATTCCCTCTTCCTTTCCATCTTCCCTTTCTGGCTGCTGCCTGGATCACTGTTTTTAGCTGACTAATAAAGTATTTTGTGTAGAAATCACCATGCTTACCTTTTTTATGCTAAGGATAACCCCCCGCCCCGTACCCAACCTCTTCCCTAGATGGGCAGGAACAGCCTTCCCCTCCACCTCACCCCGCAAAAATAAAGGTAAGCTCTGCCTTCCCATTCTCAGGAGCAAGATCCT